CAGTGATGGCTAACAAGCAAGTATGATTAGTCATTTACTATGTTGTACCCTGTCAGAACTCTAATACTTTAACTGAAACAGTAGTGCTCACTTCGACATCCACAGCTGATATGACAAAAACAGACCTTAATTAAATCCAGCTCCATGCATCCACTTCCAGAATACTACCCAAAGTCACATCTTTTCTTACTAATAAGAAAAGAACCCATGCAGTTTTCACAGCAGATATTTCTCTGAACCTCTCGCTGACTATAAAGCCAACGAAGATTCCCCCCACCCCATGAAGACAGATCTGACCTGGCTGGCATTGGCAACAGATCCCTATAGCAGGCAAGCTTAAGTGAGTGTGGCAGACTACAAGACTAACCAGGCCATCATTAGTGATACCAAGAAACTTCCATCAACTTTGATGCCTTTGACCAGCAATGAATCCAGCAGTTACAGAGACTACTAGAGTGTGATAATTCATGGAATATTTCTCCCACAGCTACATATGCGTGTTTATTTTCTCTCACACATCTATCTCACTTGATTACATATGTGTGTTGGTTATCTCCATGTGTCTATCTTGATTACTACTGTATGCTATACCCCGAACAAACTCTCAGTGTCCCTGGAATGAGCAAACAATCAACCCTCACGGGAATCATGGGAAATAAAAACTCTTATTTCAGCCATGTTTTATCCTCATATCACTTCCACTTTTCTTCTTGTTAATGATATGCTTACCATTATAACCCTTATAGTGAATTCAATACATACTTTATGCACTAGCTGAGGCTTTATTCTAAATTAAGCTCAGAAATGTTTATTAATCTTTAAATGACAGGCATCATCCACTGATATTTCATTAGTGATCAATGGATATCATTATTTGGTGATTTAAACATTTTCCAGTCATACAGGTATCATTCATCCATTATTCGAGTCTAAATGATAAATTGGCAACTCTAGGATTCATGAGATTACTATTTGCTATGATTTATAAGGTTATCTGTTTGTCTGCATATAAAGTTTAAAGAACAATGCAAAGACTACTATATTTGAATGCATGCTGTTCAAAAAGAAAAGAGGTGAAAAATGATAACTTGTAAAGAATGCACAATTCCATTGTGCATGAAATGCTTCAAAAAGTATCATAATGTTAAAAATATCAAATTTTAGGAAAATTTGAACCGTTATGATCTCAAAAAATGAAATGTCAAAAAAACAATTTTTTTCATTGACACTATTATTATTTTAACACACCTTCATTCTTCAGTAATGTTCATTGTTTATAAAAAGCAATGATTAGAATTTTAAGAAATCCTAAACATGATGAAAGTGAATTCATATATTTTTTTGTTCTTGAAAATTTACAAAAATATTAAACACTATTTATTTATTAGGTTGTTTATTTACATGAATAATTTTATATTTATATTCTAAAAATTAATACTATTGCATTAAAAATAGTGCAATTCAATATTTATCATTTACCAATTTATAAACAAAGAAATATGAAAACAATTTTTTTAATCCTAAATTTATATAAACATTATTAAATTATTAAAATATGTGAACCAACTTTAAGGAAATCCTTATTATTTACCATTTTATAAAGTTCAAATCAATTGGCACTTAGCCAATGTTTTGCCAACCATTCAAATAAATAATATAAATAAATAGAGCAAATATACAATCTAATAAATAAATAGTGTTTGTTATTTTTGTTGTCATTTCTCAAGAACAAAGAAAATGCATAAATTTACTTTCATGTTATGCTTTTATTACAATATTAATCATCAATTTTTAAAACAATAAATATTTTTTTTATTTCTCTTTTTTTCTTTATTTTATAATTTAAAAGAGTTAAAATATCATTTTTATGGGTTTTGTCTACAATTAAAGCAAAAATAAGCATAAAAGCTACTCTTAAAATTTTTTCATTTTTTTTCTTTTACTTTTTGACATGCATGTTTGTGCAACCTTTTCCTGTTGCTTAAAGGTTGAGTGCATAGGAATTACATTCTCTATATATTTTTTAAGCAATAAAATCCCATTAGAAGGTTTATTTGATAAACAATAATTATTTGGGCAAATACTGCCAAAACATTTGTGGACGTTGTCATGGACCTACCATATGTTATTTTTTAACCATTTAGAAAATAGCAAAAATAACTCCCTTCACCACTTCCACAAATTCAAGAAAAAGATTTTTATGAGGCAGTGTGAAATTATTTTCTAACTAATGAAAGCCTTGTATTCAAAAAGTTCACACTTCTATATGAAATTATATTTTTGATCCCCTTTAAAATATAAAAATATAAGCCTACTGCTTCTTGGGTATTTAAACAATTTTGGAATCCAGTTTGATTTACATGTGTACACACACATGCACCCACATACAATGAAGAGATGACAGCCAGCAGCTGGTTTGTCTATGAGCTCACAAATCATAAAGTAAATCTGTACACACATTTCACATCACTCTAAGAACACTTAATTACTTTATAAACTTCACTGCAAGGAAAATGGAACATTTCATTGCCATTGTATATTTCTGAAGAGAATCTATAAATGTTATTGCAACTGATGTGCTGCTTCTACTTTTCCTCCAGAAATAAACCTTTTTTTATGTGTCATTTAAAAGATATGTTGTTAAATGCTTGGAATCCCAATACTTAGATAGCGACAAAAACTTGGGTAGACGAATCCTAAAAAGTGTGTCTTTTGAAGGATTGCAGCACAGACCTTATCAAAGTATTTAACTTTGCTAAATTTTAGTGAGATTTTATTGAGAAAATAAGAATAAAAAAACTATTAAATGACTTCTGAAGATCACCATATATAAACGAACACACACACACAAACAAACAACCTGGGTTTTTTTTAAGTATAACTCGATATGAGTTGTCTCCCTTTAATTAATGCCTCTTAATCGTGTTTTCAAATTGATTTTGTGCAAAAACAATTGTGTTTTTCCCATTTTTGGCGCTGTCAGAACCACCGCAAGGTAATTTTACGTAGTCCTGTGAAGTTTTGTTGAAATCGGTTGAAAAATGTAGGAAATCCGATCCAATATATAAACGTACAGACACACACACACACAACCTGGTTTTTATAATAAGTAAGATGTAATTAGAAAAATTTTTCATTGAATTTTTATTAAAATTATGAGCTTAATAATCAGACAACCAATTTTCTTTGCAAAGATTTAAAAAAAATGAAAATTCTTCCTACAAATTTGGTTTCAAAATAATTTTTCTCCAAGAAAAAAAAAAAAAAATAGTGGCTAGATTTGAAAAGAACTGTTCATTGATTTTAAAATTCAAATGAAGAATTAATCTTGAAAAATAAAAGTTGACTTGTGTATTTATTTTTATGAACCATTTCTTTTTATATTTGAATTTCTCCACCCTTTTAAAATAAATCAAAATATTTTTGATAACACATTAGTGCTGCTGTGTAAAAATGACAATTTATGTATAAAAACGGCAATTTATTATTTAAAAATATATTTCCTTGTACTGTTTATCGTACTAAAGGTACTGTGCAAGGAACTAAAGTGTTATGCACGTGGTAACACACGCTTCTCACCCACGTGGCCATGTTGGGGCTAACTCTCCTTTTAAATACACTTAAGGATTGATTAACTTAACTCTCTCCGTATTTTATAGTATAGACTAAAAAACTGAGTACATACGCACATTCATATAATTAAATTTCGTAACAATAAATATATAATAAGAATCACCCATCAAGTCTATATTTTAATAATTTTTCTTAGTCTTATTCTTGTAGACAGAAACGAAATAAAAACACCTTTATTCGGGAATAATCGAATAGTTTATTCTAAGTAGAAACGAAGTGGTAGACTAGAGTTAACATTCGTAAATGAATGAGCGGTTTCTGATATGAAGATTTAAAAGAATTATAAAAAATGTGAGTTTTTAAATATAAAGAACTGATATTTAGTTAATTTCTTGTTTTGAGATTTTGACAAAAATAGAATATGCTGAAGAGCGCTATTGCTACGAATGGCGGATTAAAAAACGAATGCGTTTCCACCGGAAGTCGGTGTGCCATTAGTAATGACGAAAGAAGAGTGCCAAAAACAGTCTCCACTCGAATGCGTGTTCCTCTTTTAAGACGGGGCTGGATATTTTAATTTTTTTTTTTTAATTTTATAAATTGTAGCCCCGTCACAAACAGAAATTAACAAATCAAGAAGAGAGTCAGGAGGAGAAGAAAAGGTGATTTTTGTAGTCTCCCGGACAGCCAATACGCCGTACTGATTACGGAATCCGTTTGCGTGGCGGTCTGGGTCGACTTATTGTTTTGGTCATTTTTTTTTGTTGTTTTTTTTTTAAGGAAAAAAAAGGAAGTTCTTATTAACTCAGTAAAGAATAACTATTTTTATTTGTGATAATATGAGCTTTGGCCATTTTTTTTTTTTTTAGACAACGAAGTATATCTAAGCTGTAGAGATTCAATAGGAACTATTTTTTGTTTTTCATATTTTATTTTTAACGTTTTTGAATACTTTTTCTCCCCGCTTAAAAAGCTTATGAATGATCAACTTTTAAAAAAATCCAAATCACTTGGTTTATTTTTTTTCACTTATTTCAAAGGAAAGAGCAGAAAAAACGTTACCTCTGATTTTAACTTACATATTCCAACTTTAGTAGACGTAATTTGCAGATTTCATTCATTTGTTAATATTTTCTCCTTAAGTTTTTGTCGCTTTCTTCCATTATTATACTAAGGCGGTTATTTTTCTTATCGGTTCATTTCTACTGTCTTTCAAAAAAAAGTTATACCGTTTTGTTTGAATCTGTTTGGAAATACAATACAATTTTGGGTTATAATAATCTCCATTAAAAAAGATCAACAAATCTTCCTCTTCTAAGCAACCCGGCTTCTGAACTCACATGCACGACCAAATGGCCACATTGGACTCCCTCAGTGCCCTCAATGGAATTTTAGAAGAATGGAATCGAACATACGAAGACAGTTCTATGGACCCTGTTTCAATCCTAAAAAGGTAAGAAGATCTACTCTTTTTATTCTCACTTTGTTGGAATCTATTTGTAGACTTTCATAAAAAGACAACACAAGGCGGCATTCTAATCTGCAGGTGTTTCTGAAGAAAACTGAATTCCATTCAACACAATCTTCGTCAAAGGAAAATGATCTGAGTAAATGTTTTTAATTACTGATTGGTTTATTTATTGTACTTGAATATTTTGTAAATTATTTTGGTAATCATTAATTAATAATATTCAAGATTCATCAAAAATCGTTATACAAGAAATAAGCCAAAAAAAAACAAACACGAAAAAAAAAAAAAAACTGTGACCCCCAACAACCGTAGCATCATAACTGTTTAGAAAGGTTCATTTTTTACTCCCAACAATACGGATTTTTTTTTTTGTGAACTGTCCCTGAATGCAAAGTGAAACAAAAAGTCTTCATAATTTAAAAAATAAAATATTTCGAAAAATTTACCATAAGAACGGTAAAGAAAGATAATTGTTTTTTTTTTTTTTTTTTTTTAGAAATTTGAAATTTTATATAATTTTTAGTGTGTGGGTACACACTCATTCTTTAATTTTAAAAATGAATAGAGTTTACCGTCAGTTTTTAAATATAGTATGGAAATATTTTATCTTTGGTCATTCATGTATAGTCGGTTTTAGCGTTTCAAACAATTTTTGTACACCAAACAGATTGTTTCCCTTGTATCAGAAGAAACTACTATACAAACTATTTTTCCATAAAAAGTGAAATTTAATATTTGTAACAAATATTTTTCATAATTGAAAAATTAAAATAACTAAAATAAAAAGGTTGCATCTACCTGTCTGTACTTAAAAAAAAAAACAAAAAAAAACGAGTTTTATGTAAAATGCATTTGAAACGTTAAAACTGACTAAATCAGATTTTTAATAACATTCATGCCTGAGCCTTTTGTTTTATTATTTATTTGATTTGTATATAAAAAAAGTTATTTTCAGAAAATTGATTTAAATTTATTAAAAAAGTCACCTAGTTTGTTTGGTGTAGAGAATGAATCATTAGACTAGAAACTGGTGTCATAATAGATCATTACAACAGAGTAATGAGTTCAATCCTTGTGCCAAAAACTAAGCTAAACTTTGTAAATAATTGCCCCCTTCCCCAATGTATCCTGATTGCTTATCTGGTTAGAAACTAATGTTCCCTATTGTTTTCTTTTTTCTCTCTGTAGACTTTGAAATTTGTGCTGGGTTCAAGCCCAATTTTCTTTTCTTTTGTATCAAGATCATATAACTTATGATATTTCTTGCAGTGATTATTTATATACTTTTTATAGAATTGTGTATTTTAATTTGACAGCTATTTTTCAAACTACCTTTTATGTGGCTATCGTATTTAACTGTTGGTCATACTGAGTTTTAAAATTCCAAATTTTATTGATTATATATTCTATTAAATAAACTCTCCAGATTTCTGTATAGGAGTTTTTTGTTTTTTTTTTAAATTCATAATTATATATCATGAAGAACTGGAAAAGATTTATGCTAAAATTATCTCATTAAAATCTATATAGAGTAATTGGCCATGGTTAAATGTAGTTGGCAGAAATACCTTAACAAACAGAACTGACAAAATTTGCAATGAACAATAACAAGAAAAAAAAATGGACAAACAATATATGCAAGGCAAAGCAACAGTAATAAGGCAAAAAGTTTACAAACTAAAAATGGTGTTAAACAAAAGAGGATACAGACAAGTAATTGTAGCATTCTTACCTAAAGACAAGAATGCACAGACTTAAGTCTGATTAGTTTGAGAAGTGACTTATCTGATTGGTTATGGAAAAATCCCAGCATGCATTTGTTTTTTGTCTATAAATTTGGGAAGGTTTTTTTTTTTTTGTGTGTGTGTATATATATAAATGTGGTATTGTGGTGGAAGGATTTATTATATTGTATACTTGGATCAGTGAATGTGACTAGTTAAGTTAAAGTTAGACCAGTGATGACCAGCCTACCTCATTCCCCTCTTTGGCCTTGTGCCACATTTGTATTTATATACAATAAATATTCAGTCCATAATGGACTGAAACCAACATAGACAGAACTGACAAACAAAATCTTTAATACTTGGTGAGAGTATTTATATAGCGGAAAAGTGTAATCACCATTTGCATAACAAACTAATTTAGCTAGTAATTTTCATTTATTTGAATTATAAAACCTGTAAATTTATCAAAGTGTCCTATAATATTTCAGACATATTTAATGCCTAAAGTTTCATTGGAAATATTAGGTAAATATGAAAAGTATCTCTGTAAAACTTGATTAATTGCTAATTAACTCGATGTCAAGTTACATTCTATTTATAGAATTATTTTTAAATGCTAATTATTTTCAGCTTACGATTCTTTCTTGCTTATTTTCTTTTTTAAAAAAAAATGGAAATAATTTTGTAATTAGCAGTTAATAGATCTTGAGTTACTTCCTTTTGACAGTCTTTTTTTTTTCTTTCTTTTTTTTTTTTTTTGTCAATTTGTACTTAATTACTTTGAAACCAATGGTTTTATTGGACTGGAAATTTATTCTTGAAGTTAGAATATTTTAACAGTATTGCACTAACAAAAAGTTAATGATAATGTTCCATTTTAGCTGTCTTATGGTCATACAGACATATGCATACCTGAAGAAATAGGATCATTATTATATAGATGTAGTCTTCCTGTGATCAGATCTTGCTGATTGTATTTAAACTCAGAGGAGACTTGTATTTCTAAAAGATTAAAAGACATTCCTTAAAATTGGAGATATGTTTTAAGATAAATATATTTTAGCATTTTAAAAACTTACAAATGAAACCTCGAATCTTTCTGTTCTTTCTATACTTATATCAAAATATAACAAGTCTATATTTTATTTTGAAATTTACTGATTAGAAATTTAAAAAAAAATTATTAAATTTGTATAGATTTTTTTTATATCTGATCTTGTATCTAAGGCCAAAGCTAGAAGCATGTCTAAAGTTCTGAATTTAAACCTTTTGAAGCAATATTTTAAGATTTAATTTAATGTTTCTTTTTTAAATTTAGTAAATAGTATATAAGCAAAATCATTTTCGAGTAAATGAAAATTATTTTGTTTTCACTTGTCTTAAAATAGGATGAATTAATCTTAATTTGATTCCTTTTTATTTGACATTGAAAATATTCACATCATGATGTAAGCAAAATGATCCACTTATTCGAAAGCTTTTTTAAACATAAGTTGCCATTATTAAAAATTGAGTACAATTAAGTATTTGGTAGCTATTGAAGTTAATAATAGCATTAAATTGACTTGTCATTGTCTCAGTTGTTTTAGTTTATTTGAAAAATAGGTAGCTAAATAAGCTTTTTTTTTTTCTTTCTTCACAATGGTTTATTTTACTGATGAAATTATAAACATTGAAACTGACGTCAATTTCAAATGACTGTACATTTTGCTATTAATTCTAGAACTGACTGATGAGATATATTGAAACTGTAAAAATCATAAATGTTAAGCAATAGAAACTTTGCAAACACTTGTCTTTGTTGTTAGGGCAATAAAAAGAAACTGATGTGACAAAACGGATAAGGTTTTATGATGCATTATGTATACAAGATCAAGTAAATTAGAATGTTTATATTTTCAAATTTGTATGCAGGTGCATCATTTGAATTTAGGGCACAATGGAATGCCAGTTATTTGAAGAGATATTAACCAAATTTTGGATTATCTGACAAAATTTCAAGGTCCCATAAATATTTAATTTTAAAACTTTGTTCTGAGTACAAATCTATTACAAGTGAATGGATTTATTGATCTATTGATGTTTGTTTGTGAAAAGAAATGGGTTGGTGGACTTGATAATACTCAAGCACTTTAAACAGTGTTGAAATAACTTTTAACACAAAATCAGTTACTGATACCCTTTGCAGTTTCCATTAATGAATCTATTGACAGTTTTTGACTTTGTCAAGCATAAGATAAAGTTGATACACCTTTTCATCAAAAATGCTGGCAAAAACAAAATCTCAAGCAACCATCACCTGAGCATTTTCCTCACAAACAATAATTTGATCACCAACTCTGTGAACTTGTCTTAAATGAACTTGATCTCATTGATGAACCTAGTACACTTTCTGCACACATGTATAAATGTAATTTTATATAATTATATCATGATGGCTTCATTTTCAGACCTATGTTTTTATTAAATGACAGATAAAATGTAAAATATAACATTTTTCAACAATATCTTCACTCATTTTATTGATGAAAGGAAAGCAAATTCCTTAAATCTGAATTTTTTTTTTTTTGTTCAGTGTGGCTTTGTTGTTGTTTTTTTTTAAATATGATTGGGTCAAGTACATGACAATCACTTATCTGAACAAAATGCTTCCTGGCCCTCTTATTTAGATAACTGATGTTTCACTGTAATGTTGAATGATGGTAACTGTGTTTAACTGCAAAATATGAAATAGATTTAGGTCTGATGTAAAAAATATTTAAACCAATCCTGGTCAGACTGTGGCCCATTTTGTTTTTTTGAATAGCATAACTAATTTCATAAAGAAAATAACATTTAATAAAACTTTGTTTTTGTTCTCACTTGTTCACTCACACACTCATGCATAAGCACCTATATAAATAAGGATTAAGTCCAGTGTTTCTTGAATATTTTGTAACCTTTAATCAATGATAATGTCAGCATTTTAAATCATAGGTGATTTTCATTTCACAAAAATCATTCCTGTAAAAACACTTTTTTCTTTAGAAATAGGAAATAATTTTTTTCTCTTGAGAAATTTTTTCTTTTAAAAAATTATTTTTGTATATTCAAATGATTAAATTAGAAAAGAGTCACATGCAGCAGTTGGTGTTAATCACTGTCTTCAGTGATAATATTTTACTACGACTTTGGTTTATTTATTTATAGAAAATTTTTTCCCCCATAGACCCCTCTGCCCTTCAAACCAATGTTCCCTATTTCTAAGGCAGATGCTTATATCTATGGTCTTCTGTAATGAAATTAGCTGAGGTATGTACAACAACAGCAAAAAAAAAAACCTTGAAATTTTTTTAATGTAGCCTGCCTTATGAGCCATATCTTCTGTGGCACACTGCTTGTAAAAGGTTGTCTAGCCTGATTTTAAACTCTTCAGTTTTGGTTTTAAGAGCCCTGAAATATCAAGATATCTGTATTGTTACATTAGTTTATTAATTCCATCTATCTGAGCATTTGTGCATCAAAATTGAGTGATATTTTTTTTTTTATGTTCAGGGATATATTAACATAAAATCATTTTTTTGTAAGTACTGGTTTCATAAAACTTGAAGGAGATTCTCTTTCTCAAGCTTTATTATAGAAAGTGTTTATGAAAATCCTCTTAGTGATCTTTTTTTTTTTTTTTTCTTTCATGAACACTTTTTCAAAAATAGAAAGTAAACATAACCATTGTCCATTTTTGAAGGTCAAAATCATCCTGGAATTAGATGGATATTGAAATTTTTTAATTGGATCAAAGATTGGCTTTTTCAAATTCTAAATTTTCTAAACACAATCTGTACATGAGAATGGACAAAACTTTGCACACAAATTACAAAGACTTTACTGCACTCACCAAAGGTAATTATTGAATCACAAAATATAATTAGTTCCCATTAATCATTTAACATTTTTATGACATTGTTTGTGATCAAAACTTTATTTCCATGGTATTATTATGTTAATAGATTATATGGATTGGAATCTAACGGGATGATAGGATAAAGAACGAATAGGAAACCTTTGTAAATCTAATATAGTACACTTTTATTAAAGTTTCATCACAATGAAATATGGAGGACAAGAAAATTCTATTTTTAATTTTTGTGTTTGTATTTCATTGGTTAAGCAGACAACATGTGCATCTGTCTTAAGTATTGTTTGTGTGTATAATTCATGTGTATCATAATTCTATTTTGTCTATGCTGGATTTGGATAATAATGTATATTCATTTGTTTGTGTGCATGTAGTAGGTATTTTTATTCATATTTTGTGGTTGTTTGGGTGTTGCTTTTGTGTGAGGGTGAAATAATTTTTTATACTGATTGTGGTAGCAGGTAGACATTCTAAATTCTTTAAGTATGGATTTTATAAAAGTTGGTGATATGTGTGTGACGTGTATTTATATATGGTAAAATATTTATCAGAACTCCCTCAAAGTATTTCTTGTGTAAAGAATTATGTTCTTTTTTTAATTAGGCTAGCATTTCCCAAACAGTGCTTGACATGTGAGATTTGCTTAATGAAAAAACAAACACAAAACTTAGTAAAATTTCCTTTTTCGTTTTCATATTTCATTCTCTGATGAAGCTTTAATAAAAGCAAAACATAAATGTAATTTATAGTATAGTAATTTATAAATGTTTCCTATTTGTTTCTTATCCCATCATATATGCACACACAGTAGATTGTTTGAAATTGGTATCTAAACTGATCTTTAATTCCAGTATTTTTCAGCATTTTAAAAATATGAAGTGAAACAGTAAAGACAAACCAAAACCAATATAATTGTACTCTGTAACAGTTTGAGGAATGGAAACTATTGAGAAATCATTACAATTGAAAAATAATAATGTTCATTTAATTTGGCTAGAATTTTAACATTCCTTTTGTGAAATCAGGTTAAATTACTTTCTCATGTGTCACACAAGTGGATTTTTTTTTTTTTTTCAACTTCCCCTCTAGGATCTGCCAGAAAGATGGTGTCTCAGACAGCTGTGAAAGAATAAACTGCTGTGAATGGGTAGAACAAACTGTAAAAAAAAAAAAAATTAATTACTCTTCATATGTTTTATGGTACCAGTTTAAATTTAGTTTTCCTTCTATACTTGCTGTGACTTTCTTCTAAAGAACCTAGTTTCATGTACTTATATACTTCATTTATAGGTTATTTTTCCTTTTTGGTAAATGCGACAATTTGGAAGTATTCACTCACCAATAGTTTTGTTTTAAATCAGTGCACTAAGCACTAACTTTAGGTAAATGACTTACTGTAGTTATTCTGTTAGAAATGTATATAAATAAATACAGATAGGTATTTGCTCATAAGTTTCACTGCAATGAGTTTTCTCTTTTTTACTCATAAAATTTGGTAAACATTGTACTATGATACATTATGGTATTAATGATAATATATGATGAGAGGTTATATATAAATGATATTGTCTAGTGAAATACTAGATCATTGAAAGAAATGAAAAAAAAAAAGAACAAAAAACAACTAATTTAAAACAAAAATCATAAATTCTGTTGATACAGTAGATTTAATAAAAAGGGTTAGGGATTGGTTACTATGAGTATATGTTAGGACAAGAATTGTGTTAGTTGCTAGAATTTCATAGAGAAAGCATATCAAAATATTTCTCAAGCTGCATTTAACTTGTAGCATGAACACACATTCATGTGGCCTGTGGTTCCAGATTTAATTTTACTCCCATGTTCTGGAACTATATAAAAATAATTTCCTGTTTTTTTTTTTTTTTTTTTTTTTTTTTTATTGTAATTATTAGTGTCATAATAAAAGCATTAAAATATGTAGGGAATTAAAAAAACAAATTTAGTTTTAAAAATAAATACAACAAATTAGTTAAGTTTTACTGGAATTTTTATAAAGATCACAACTATTGTTATTTAAACATTTTGATTAAATAACTTTACATGAAAATTTATTAACAAGGCCATTTCCATGTTCAGAGTAACTTTTATCTTAAGAATTTTCCTGTGTATTCATTTTCAACTTAAAGAATGTTAGAACATTCCAATTATTCTCATTTTTATTTTTTTTTTAATTTACAATTATCTGCCTCACTTCATAATTAAGTTTCTATGTTTTATCATTTTTAAATTCTCCTTTGTATTATCAAAATTTAGTTTATGATAAAAAGAAAACATAACACAAAAATTAATGATTCATTCAAGATTTTTTTCTTTTTTTTATGCAAAAATTTACAAAGAAAATATAATTTTCTTTTGTTTATTAAAGCAAAATTTGTTCTTACTGTTATCTCCTAATGTTTTTCACATTTAGAAATAATAAATAATACAATTACCTAAATTTAAGTCCTTTAGCCTTCATTGTTCACTTGGGTTTCATTCACCAGTTTGAAAAGAAGCATTTAAGTTTTGCTTAATTCTTTTTTCTTTTGTGTGTCTTTACATCATTTATTAGAGGAATAGGGATATTTTTAATTTTAAGAAATTGGTTTCTTTTATAATAGAATTTTAATTTAAAATTTTGCACACTCCTGGGATTGTTCCAAAAAACCTAAGCAGTTATCTCAAACTAATGTTTTTAATTTCTAGGCAGACATGAATTTTGAGCCCTGATGCAGCCACAGACAAAGTTGATTAAAAACTTTTGTATTTCTTTTTGACTCTCAATTTCTTTAAATGTATTTTAAACAATACTTGACCATTATTTTAATTTCTATTTTCTAAATTTATGATTGTAGCAAAAATGGTATCTGAAATTACTGATACCATATGATTTCGAAAAAAAAAAATTGGCTGTTTTAACAAAATGTTCAAACAAAAACCACTTAAGGTAACCATTTCTTAATGAGCAGCAATACATTAGAAAAAATAAACATATATATAGTACTACATTTTTAGAAATTATATACCTGTATTTCTTTTTTCAGGATGGCAGAATTGATAGAGAAAGAAACAGAGGCATATTTCAAAATGGATCCTGATCCTTTTGATGACAGACATCCAGGTAATTAAGTTTCTTCTTTCAATGAAAAGATAAAAAAAAAACTTTTGCTCAATGAATTTCAGATTATAAACTTATAGCTTGTAATTAAGCCAGTATTAATGTTAGCGACACAGCTGTTTCTGTATTTTATTTTGCTTTCATTTAACCACCATAGAGAACCTTTTCTGCAATCAGCATGGTTGATGCTAGACTCCAGAAGAGCAACACACTGCACCTTCTTGGCCTCATGTTTTCCTCTGACATGAAGTGGAGTGACTATATAGAATTAATAGCTGCATTTATTGCAAGGAAAGTTGAGTCACTGTGTCATGCCAGAAAGTTTTTCTTGCCAGAATCCATCTTGCACATTTACAAATCTACCATTTATCTGTGCATTGAATACTGTCTTTATATCCATTCTGGTGCTCTTGCTGTACATTCTGAGATTCTTGACAAGATCCAAAGAATGGCATTTCAACTTCAGTCATTTTCTTATCAATGTAACATGGCTTCCCTCTGTCTTTTCTACAAATATTTTCATAGCAACTGCTCTGATGAGCTTTTTTTTCTTGGTGCTCCAAATACATAAATTTAAGTGTGTTACTAGATTGGCAACTAGGTCCCACTTGTTGAAATAACTAAATGCAACTGCCAATTCTACTCCAGCAGTTTCTTTTCTCACACTTCCCACCTGTGGAATACTCTTTGATTTCACTGCTTCCCTGGTAACAATAATCTTCAAAACTTTAAATGCAATGTAAATTGGCATCTTCTATCTTCTTGAATCCTTTCCTTAATCCTCCTTTATACTTAGTCTTCTCTCTCACTTTCACTCCATGTAACTTCCTGTGTACTAGTGGAATTGCTGATTTGATTTTGGTGAAATGATAAAAAAAAAAAAAAAAACTTTTCTGTCTAAATGATTATCATGTTTAATGATCTTATAATTATTGTTTTTTATAAATGTTAGGGTCAGAGATATTAAATGTCTGAGTTGTGTAAGTTTTTAAAATGGTCTCTAATGTTGATATCAAGCAAATATGAAGCAGCAATATATTACTTACCTTTTTTGATTCTCATTTAAATTGACTTAAGGTAATAGCTAACTCATCACATAAAATTATTTATTATTTTATAAATTTTAGACATGTTCTGCCATTTTTTTTTTTTTTTGTTTAAAATTTTATCACTACAATTTAAAACAACAAGAAAAAAAATATTTTATTTCTATTTTCCAGTTTACATGTAATATTTTAGCATTATTGAAATTATTATTAAAACTTTATTTACAAATTCTCTATATTCTAGTCTCTACAATTTTATACTCATAAGGCATTAAAAAGTTGGGGATTATAAGTTCATGACAAAAATGATCATCTTACTTTTAATACCTGTAACATTTACAAAATTTAAAAGAAACTGTAAAAAACAAAACTGGTTTAGCTCCTGTTTGTTATACTTATTTAAAGCATTTGTTATTTCCTCTTACATTTTTACTCCTTCACTTGACTGCTACTTTTTTATTTGAATTATTTTTTAAAATAGAAATTCTTATTTCAGCGACATTTTCTTATTTAGAGAGCATTAAAACCAAATAAGCCGTAAGATATTTAAATACAAGCAGATTGGTCTAATCATAATTGACCATTGAGTCTCTCATAAATGTCCAGATACACATAGATTGTTTCTATACTTATCAGTGCTTTAGATTACAAAAGAAAATTATTTAGACATATAGCTTCGTTTTTTTTTTTTTTTTTTTCAAAGAAACGTATAATATGAGAAGATACCCAAAAATTCTCAGCCTGACTAAAAAAAAATTTTTTTAAATTACAAAATCTAACATTTGGTCATTTTAAATCAGATTTTGCAAAGTGGGCCAAGCCAAGAAATTTTCTGCATACCCCTTCATATTAGTGACTAGACAATATGTTACTAATTGGGATATTGTATAGTTTCTAGATAAATATCAAATTATATTCTTTGTTATTAGTAGTGTACCACTTTATGCTGAAACTGTTATTTATACACATATTGATAAACTAAGATTCTGTAATAACACTTATAGACCCTCGAGTACAAATTGTTTTAGGTATCTGCCAGATTGGCAATGTTTATTTTATTTGCAGGCCAAGACAAATTAACATTTTTAATAATTTAAAACCCATATTAAAATATTTTCTATTATGAATAAAGTCTAATACAATTCTTTCAATGGTAGTGTTAAAAAGGAATCGATAAGTATAATACTTTCTTTTTTTTTTTTTTTTCTGCGATACAACTGTTTCACTGAGGTTCAAAATTCATGTTGCTTACCATCAAAATTGACTAAATGTTGATAATTTTAGACCAGCCTATATACAAATTTAGCTTGCTTCATCTTTGAAAAGATCTCTCACCTAAACATATTGCAAATACTGAAATTGTTGGACAAAGCAGAATATCCTTTATATGGGAGGCATTTTTAAGAATCCATCAATAGTTTTCTATGATTAATAGCTTTATATTAGCTGAAAGCGTTCTTGATTGGTTAGAAGTACTAATTTTATAAATAAGTTTATTTATTTTTATATATATATATATATATATATATATATATATATAATTGTGCTAATTTGAAAGACTGTTTTTGAAACCAAAATTGTTGGTTTTTCCATGGTTTGCTGATAAGGAGGCATTTGTGGCAAGCAGGCTTTGTTGTGGAGTGCTCAATATCAATGATAGAGATAGAGCATTAATAGAATTAATATGAAAGTTTTTTTTCACTTATGTTTACTTTAAAGTTTCATGGTTACATAGATGTGACCACAGATCAGAACAAAGTTGAACTGCTGATATCTTTCGATTCTTTTTGGACTTTTATTGTGGTATGAGGGTGTGTTATTTTCCTTTGAGTGTTGATTGGTTATTGACTTCTCTTCTTCCTTCCTTTTTTTTTTAAAAATTTTTTTTCTACTTTTTTTCTTTCTTAGTGTGTGCTTTTTGTTTTGTACTTTTATTGTGGTATGAGTGTGTTATTTTCCTTTTTGCTTGATAAATTGTGTTGTATGAAAGAACAGTTTTTTTTTATGTTGGTGATGTTGTTAAACCAATTGTTTCTTTTGTATTTTTCCATTCGTCTATATTTAGTGTGCTCCTTAACTTTTAGTTTAGGTTATGGTTGAATTTTTGTGCATGTATGTGTGTTTGTGTGCATATGCCTGCATACATGTACCCACCTGTGTGTTTGGATGTGTTTGTACATTCGTACCCTATATATGTTCTCTTTTTTTTTTTTTCTTTTTCTATTTTTTCTTTTTTATATTTAGTGTTTTTGTTTTGTAAAGAGTGTAGTTGTGGTAATTTGCTTGTCTTTTGTGTAGTTGAGTTTTATTTTGTTGATATTGTGAAGTGTGTTTTGTGTTTTCTAAGAGGTGTAGTTTTAGGTGATTTAGCTGTATTAAGTTACAGTCAGCACCGTCTGTCTAACTCTCTGCATTAGCAGGGAGGAACCTGGACGAAGCTTTGCCGAAGGACAAGGTTTCGTTCGGGGAGGTTGACAGTTCTCGAACCCGCCCAGGCGGGTTCGAAGGGTATATTTTTGGCCGGGCCTACGGGCTTGGATGACCCACAATAAACTCGGCCTTGTGCCACATTCAATCCCACGTGGGAGGATAGCTAAATATTGTAGTTGTGGTGATTTGTATATTGGGTTTTGTGTGTGTTTTGTATGGTCGGGTATTATTTTGTTGGTTATTATTTGTTATTTTGGTTACTCTTTTTTGGGTGAATTGTGTTTGGGATTGGTATAGATCAGATGTTAGGTATGGTGGTTTGTGTTGTATATCTTTTTTTTTTTATATCAGTCTTTAGGTAGCAAAGTAGATGCTTGTTTTAATGTCTGCATCTCCCCATTATTTCATTCCTCTTGTTCAATAAGCTGTTTTGATTCTTAAATGTGATGATTGTTAATTTTTCCTTTACACAATGCAAATTTCTTTTCCTGACAGGTATGTGTATGCAGGCATATTTGTATGTAGACAGGCACACACACACACAAAAAAAAAAATTCAACCATAACCTAAGCTAAATCATGAAAAAATAAACCAATGACCAATGGAGAAGCACAACTAACATAGACCATTGGAAAAATAAACAATAGATTTAACATTGTCACAACGCAAAAAATGTTCTTTCCCACAACTAAATATAAGACTTTCCAAGTGAAAAGTACAAAATAACAAACGCATGCTAAGTAAAGTTAAATAATACAAACTACTAAAAATATACATACAGTTAATGAACACACATTCTTTTGAGTGTATGCATGCATGCATGTATGCATACATAGGCAAACATCTACACAAACATACATGCACACATTAAAATCCAACCATAACCTAAATTAAATAGTTAAAACAATAGCAATAAACCAGAGATCAATGGAGAAGGTAAGGAAAGAATAAAAGAAAAGAAAAAGATTAAAAAGTAAAAGTTAGGTAAGGGAGAGGAAGAGAAGTAATCAATTAATCAACACTCATCAAGCTAAAAGAAAAATAACACACTCATACTGCTATAAAGTACAAAAGAATTGAGAAATATCAGCAGTCTCTGTTCTGAAGAGTGGTTACATCTATGTAACCATGAAACTTCGAAGTAAAAATGAATTAAGTGAAAAAGCTTTTTGATTTTTATATATATATATATATATATATATATATATATATATATATATATATATATATATGTGTGTGTTCCCCTATAAAAGGGGAATGCATGTTCAATCTCTACTGGGAAATGCACTTTTCTTTTTTTTTTTTTTTTTTAATAAGATTTCTTGAATCCACAGTCCAATAGACACATTCATTTTAATAGATAAAAAATGGGTTGTCTATTTCAAATTCAGAGTATCCACCATAACATTTAAAGAAATAAAAATTGTCAGATTAAAAATAAATCCATTAATTCTTTAGAAGTATATTGTATACTGTTATTTCTATCTTGTATATGAATGAAATTCAATCATTCATTATGAGCTAGTA